ACTATGGGCAAAAGTAAGGTGAATTTGTTGGTAACATTAAAAATCTTTTTTCTTCTAAATCAATTTTATCCCCTTCAAAACAACGTTTGTTCCAATCGTCGTTATCATCGTGATTTCTTTACCAAACGCGATTTGACTTTTCGTAAGCACAAATGGTTATCACAGATCCTTCTGATATTCCGATCTTATCCGTAAAGTCTCTGAAAGTCAGCCGATGATTTTTGTTTTGGACAATCAATCTTGGTTGTTTGGTAAACACAAGAGTAAATATATTACTGATAAGGAACAGTAACAGTCCTGCCAACTTAAAAAAAAGGACTAGCCCGAAATGTTAGGCCCGCTAAGTTTAAATTGAAAATTTACCTTACTTTTTGCCCACATAAGTATATTTAAGCAGATTTCTAGTTTGAAAAGTGAATCTAACAATTTCCAGTAGTTTAAATCTAAAGATTATTTATCAGAATATTGCTGTTCAAATAAATCTATAAAGTCTACAAATCTTTTACAACTTGGAAAAAATTAAATTTTAAATGTTTCAAAGCAATCCCTTAAATTAGCTTTTTCAAATGACCCGCTCAACATATATCGATAACTTATTACCATAAATTATCGCCAGGAACGGCTCGATGAGTCATTTTCCGTTAATCAGAAACGGTCACACCTCGCAATCCCCTCAGCTGTGCGAGAGAGACAGCGACAAAATTACAATAGCCGAAATGTCCGACAAAATTGTAAGTAAATTGTTGATAACAAAATGAAAAGCGCGTTTCAAGTGCTTATCGCATATATCAGGCGATTGTGCAGTGACTGTAGGGCAAATGCCAAGTGTTCGCTTACACGTAGCCCTTAAAAAAGCCGGCAAGCAAAGGCACTCTCCTCATTCGATGACATTTGTTGTTGTTGCTGATATATTGCAAAATATAATTAAAGAACGTTTTCCCATTGGAAAGTGCAGTTGAAAATGTGTGTGACATCTATTTAGAGGAACTCCCCGGAAGTGTAAATCCGTCACAAGTTCCGTAATGCGGCAAAAAGTGCAGGCGGTGAAATTAAATGGTACCATGACTTGTAGATTTTCAGCCAAATGATTGCAGTCTAGGCGAAAAAAGTAGACAGAGGGGATGTGCGGGGGTTTCAGACCCGACCTGAAATACAAATAAATAATTGAAAGTTATTGCAAACTTTATTTCGCCCAGGGAAATATAATTGAGTGTTGCACTGTCAATCAAACATTTTTAATTCAAAAGTGTGCACTCAAAATAAACATCACTATAGTTTTCTGTTTTCCAGCCATTATTTATTCAAACAATAATACTTAAAAATATTAATCTTTGTAAAAAGTATTGCAATGCAACTTAAATCCTTATAAGTTTTATAAAAAAAAGATTTCTTAGTAATGATTGACTTTAAGATTGTATTACTATTATCTTGAATGAAAATTATTATTTTTGAGTAAGTTATTAAAACTAAGTGCATAATTATTTTTTTTTATCAAAAAATGATCAAAATTAACGATTATAACAATTTGTACTATTAAATTAAATTTTATTATCAAAAAACCTTTTCGTACGCCATAATAACTTGTTAAATTACATAAATAGTTTACTTCCAAAGTTTTAAACCAATCTGCAGTGCATCTTATAATGTTTCTCGTAAAAAGGTATATGTATATTTAATTTTATCGGTGTTCGAATGCATCTCTTTTAAGTATGCACTCAATTTGGCAATGAGTTGCATTTGTTTTTATTGCGATGCCAACAAATTTTCACAGTCAAGTTCGCGCCTTCATGACGTACAGTCCGAAACAATAAAGAAAAAAGCCTTTCAGGCTTTGGTAGCTTCATAGCTACACTTGACAAACCCCCACCCACCAAGTCACCCACCACCCACTTAACCACCCGTCCAGTGAACCACCCACCCAGTGACCTATCCAAGAGAATCCAGAAAATGGCCTGTGCACCTTTGCTGCTCGAGCAATTCATCTACAAGAAGCGCAATTTCGCATTCGCCTTTGTGCGCCATCGTCTGTTTGTGTTATGCAAACAATCGGTTGGACCAGAAATTCAATTAATCAGTATCCAAATGCTAACTAATATTAATTTGTATTATTTAATTGCAGCTAATTCGCGTTCAGTCCGCGGAGGGCATCAAACGCATCGAGATCTCGCCCAAGTCGAATTTGAAGCATCTGTACGACAGCGTTCAGAATGCACTGAAGGTGGATGGATTCGGGCTCTTCAAGGAACGCAATTTCCTCACAGAGCTGCAGGCCAGTGGCTCCCAGCTGGTTGGCAATTCCTTGAAGCATGGCGACATGGTCTACTTAAAACAGATGGCTGGCACATCTTCGCGCGTAAGAAGGGCTTTCCTCAAGAATCGATCAGGGAGTAATCAGTATATTTTCCATTTTCAGCGCACTAGCACCACTGTCTTGGAAAGCCAGGCGTTCAAGACCAGCACCAGCACCAGCAACCCAAGCAGCGCACGTCCATCCATCAATGTGGTCGAGGATGACGTGGACCAGGCTCTGAGCAAGGCAGATGGTACCATCAAGCGCGAACGCGATAGCAAACTGTAAGCTTTTGGGGTTTCTTTTAGCGCCTTAAAAAAACCATGTCTTAAATGGAAACAATTTAAATTTTCCTTGAATTTTCAGTTTTCTGTACGTTTTAATTACGCTTTAAAAATAATTACACGCATATTTAATTAGATTTCTAAGTAATTCAGATAGATAATACAAGACATACTATGTTTTACCTGTGATATCAGACCACCTTTTTATAACGTCCACCGACTTTGTACTTACAAACCTGTTTACCATATCAGTTGCCCAATCAGATAACTAATCAAACTATATTGTCTTGCAGGTGCCATCACAATGCCAATGGCCGTTGCGTCCACTGCTCCGCACTGGAGCCATACGATGAGTCCTACCTGAAGGAGCAGAACATCAAACACTTGTCCTTCCACTCGTACATACGCAAGCAGACTTCTGGCATGGATCAGGGTAAGTACTTCGTCTTCGACGACATCAATTGCCGCATCAAGTCCGGATGCCGGGAGCATCCGCCATGGCCCAAGGGCATCTGCTCCAAGTGCCAGCCGTCGGCCATAACGCTAAACCGTCAGACATATCGCCATGTGGACAATGTGATGTTCGAAAACACCAAGATCGTGGAGCGATTCCTCAACTACTGGCGCACGACGGGCCACCAGCGCATGGGCTATCTGTACGGCACATACGAGCAGCACACCGATGTTCCACTGGGCATTCGGGCCAAGGTGGCGGCCATCTACGAGCCGCCACAGGAGTCGACCAGGGACTCGATAAACATCCAGCCGGATGAGGGAGCCGATGATGTGGATGCCGTGGCCAATGCGCTGGGACTGAAGAAGGTTAGCTATTACTCTTTGTTCTAGTTTCATTAACCGTCTGTTACAATTTATGTCAACTTTACAGATTGGTTGGATTTTTACTGATCTCATCACGGAGGATGCGAGCGTCGGCACTGTCAAACAGATCCGTGGCATCGAGTCGCACTTCATTACGGCCCAGGAGTGCATCACAGCCGGCGAGCTGCAGAATCGCCATCCAAATCCTTGTAAATATGCCTCCAACGGCGTCTTTGGCTCAAAGTTTGTGACCATTTGTGTGACGGGTAAGCAGCTCTTCAGGTTGATTCTCCTCAATTTATTTAATGTTATGCTGATTTCACATTTCAGGAGATAAAACCAAACAGGTGCACATGGAGGGCTATGCGGTGTCCGCTCAGTGCATGGCTCTGGTGCGTGATGATTGTCTGATACCCACTAAGGATGCGCCCGAGCTGGGTTACGTGCGCGAGTCCACGGACAAGCAGTATGTCCCAGATGTCTTCTACAAGGTAAGACTCTTCCCGTTCCCGTAAAATTAATTAGTTTTGATCCCCCTTGAAACAAAAAAAAAAACAATTGTTTTGGGCAATCTTTATTGAATTACGTTCACATTTACACAGACAACTTGCATATTTAGACATAAAAAAAAAAAACAATTGTTTTGGGCAATCTTTATTGAATTACGTTCACATTTACACAGACAACTTGCATATTTAGACATCAATTAAAATGGCGTTTTCTCGCTTGGTTACATGCAATGAAAATCTGGATGTTAATACCAATTTGAATTTAACTTGATACATGTAACATCAAAACGATTACATTAGTTTGTGTAATTTAATTTATTCAAGGTTCCTTTCTTCTCTGCGGTTTGTACTTCTCATCATTGCTCTGTGCTCCTCCAGAATTTCATTTTTATTTTATCGTATACCTAGGACACTCATACATATTGGATGTTTAAATGTTAAAGTAAAATATAGCCCTTCATTCTTTAACTTAATTTTTCATCATTTCAATGTTTATTCTATCTTACGCCTTCTTCCCATGCTGGTATCTAAATATTTCGATAAACTTTACAATTTCGTTTGATCTTTCTTAAACTTAAAAATACAATAACCTAATTTAATTTAAAATTTCAAGCAATTTATCGAATATAATTTAATTAAAATTTCGGATTTCGATTTATTAACTATCTGTGTGTTGCTACTTATATTTTACTAACCCGATTTGATTCCCATTATTTGGCTTTTCTTGGTATTCCTTTTCTACATAATCACAAACAGGGCATTAATTATGGTCACACAAAATGCATATGTATGTAGACATCGAAAAACTATTTCGCGCTTAGATACTTTTGGTTTTAAATAATTAAATTGAATATAAATCTTTTTTTTTTTTCTATTCTGATTTCACCTATTTCTTGGTTTGAATTTTGATCTGACTATGTTTGGTTTTCATTTTATTTTATTGTAGCTAATTTACTATGTCCAGGTAACGTCGTAGCGCTTAAACACCAATTAAGTGTGTCTTTCAATCCTTAGGATATATATCAAAAACGTATTAAGGTTTTAATACGATTTCCACCTTGTCTGTGATACTCCATTATTTAAATGTCACTGATAAAGTAGTTTTTTTCTTTTTTATATTTTTTTAAATAACCTCCAAAACGTTTGTTCGATTTGTAAATTGTTTATAAAAATTTCATTAGTCTGTGTGTTACAAAAACAATTGGCTTCCGTCACTGGCTCTCATTGTATGCTTTGTAAAAATAATTCCGAGGGGTGTTCGTTGTTACAAAAATTCGTAGCAAGAGTAGTGCAGGTGGTTAGTGTTTGTGGGCTTTCAAAGGGAATTGAATTTGGCCAGTGGATCAGTCAGTCCCCCTCGTTTTTAATTGTTTAAATGGTATTCGCCACAATCGCGGATGATGCTCCTCAGGGAAGGTCGACCCAAAGCATTGCCACTGGCTGCGATCCTGTCCACCAACTCGATGCCCTGCACAATGTAACCAAAGATGGCTGTGAAGGAACGCATCTCGTTGAGCACCAACCGGAATTGACTGCCCACCAATCCACTTCTGTCCTGTCGCCTCTGTCCCCTTCGCATGCCCACTGTGCCGCGCCGTGCCGGTAATCCTGTCTCATCCGGCATAAAGTATCTATTCTCAAAGGCCGAGTGTCCGCCGCGTCCATTGTGCGTCTCGAAGTCCCCAGTGATGATGCTCTCGCGTCCCCAGGCCTGGAAAACGGCGCATCCCCGGTAGCCATAGCCCCGTTCGTGCCGCACCAGCGCCCCAAAGTTTTCCGCCATCCGGGGAGCGACATCCCATCGCACCTCGATCAGTACGCGTCCGGCCAGTTCGCCTGCTATCTCCATGTCCAAAAAGTAGATGGGATAAAAGTGGGCGGAGGGCTGACCCACAATGCCCACCGGCGGGGATTGGACATGATTGTGGTTCTGGTTCTGGTTCTGGTTCTGCTGCCCGTTCAACCAGGCGTTGTCCGCTTGAAACTGAGGCTGCAACAGTGGTGGTGGTTGTTCCTGCACCTCATATGGCCCTTGCCACATTTGTTCCTGAAATTGTGGCACCATTCCATGCTGACCTGGAACTAAAACATAAGTGTATACTTGCGGTCCCGCGGACAAGCTGCTCTGACTGTCGCTATTGCTGCTGCTCTGCGAGTAGGAGGAGCCAGGTGAATCCTCCTCGGCGGCCGCATTAATTAAGCGATCCTGATCCTGTTCAATCTGCTGCATTTGCTGGCTAAGCTCTGCCTCCTGCAGGCTGTGATTGAAGTGCGGTGGCACCACGGCTCTGCCGGATTGCGGCAACAATTCAGGCTCCGGTGGCAGAGTCCTCACGCGCGGAGGAATCATCTGGCGTTGCACCGCGTTCCAGTAGGCAAACACACAGTAGTTGGTGAGGATCAAAGCCTGAGGTGGCTCCACATTGGCGGGAATGGGGCCGGGACGTGGCTGATTGCGCAGTCGCAGGATCCTGTCGTTTAGATGCTCGAAATCCAGGATCTGCATGCCGTTCTCCTGGACTGCGGCACGCATTCTGCATTGAAAGTGCACCTCCACCAGCTGCACCTCGAATTTGCTGCGTTGTTGGGTCAACTGAGCGAGTACTTGTAGCAAACTGGCTCCAGTGAGATTTCCAACGGATCTATTTAGCTCCTGTTCGGCGCGTCGCTGCCAACCGGTCATTGTGGCCGAAACCAAGCTGGGCTCGTGCTCCAGCATCATGCGCTTCACATGCAGTTGAACGTGAAAGCAGGCCTCGCACATTTGACGCAGCAGATCCATCTCGCGGTTGGCCAATTCGGTGGCCTGCAAAGCAGTTCCCTTGATCTTGGCCAGCTCCGAGTCGAGCAGTTGGCGCAGAAGCTCATGGTAGTCCAACTGGTGGGTCAGTCGATGCTCACGATGAGTGGGGGCATCCGAGCAGGCGCGGCACAGCAAACGCTGGCAATCGTGACACCAAGTGGAGTTGGGCATGGCATGGATGAAACAGTGCTCGGCACTGTTGGCCAAGAAGCTGTCCACACAGATCTCGTCCAGCCAGTTCTCCGACTGCGACTCTGGTTGCTCGCCAGTCACTTCGATGGATTGGCTATTGCCCTCCGAGAAATCCAACATGGCACGGCCCAAAACCAAAGCGGGCAGCTCACGGAGTAGGTACATGATGGCTACCGATTCCGGCAGCTTCTGGCCATATAACTCTGTGCGCATTCCGCACAGTGGACAGATGCACTGCGTCGGGTCGTAGAGGGTGCTTCTGGTCAGGCACTCCTCGCAGTAGCTGTGTCGGCAGATCAGCTCCCTGGGCAGCACGTTAGTGGCCAGATCATAGACACGATTGCACAGGCCGCAGGTCAGCAGCGACTCCAGCTCCTTGGGCACCTGGATGGACGTCTCCATATTTGCTCAACACTAAAAAATATAAAAATCTACCTAAGTTATTTTGTATTTTACAGTCAACTGTATCCTGAGTGTTCCTACTCCTATGAAGTACTGATAATTTTGGGCCTGGGGTTCAAATGACATTTGTGAATACTGTTTGCCTGGAGTACTGTGATTATAAGGTTGTTCCAAATTTGTATAAACACGTTATAGGAAGCTCTTTGCTTAAAATAATTTAAGAATTTTTGTTGGGATTTAGTGATTTTTGCTCATTGGATTTAATGAATATCACTCATACGTACTGTTGCCGTTTACTATAAAAATGTATTCTAACTGACATTACGTGTAGTATGAGTTATTTTTTTCGAAAACTTTAAGACCAAAGGGCAACCATTAAAACTTAAAAAAATGTTTTGGTTTTCGAATGCATTTATTTTATTCTGATATATTCAATAAGTTCTAAATTTAATTTTCTTCTGCAACTTAAAAACTTGAAATTAATAACGCATTGGAAGCAATACAAAAAGCTAAGAGCATCATTGTTTAATTGATATAATTTTCTGACGGTGTCTGAAGCAAAACCAAAATAGTCCGCCATAAACAATTTCAGTTTAATTTGCGGTTTCCCACAAATCATCAACAGATGCCTTCACCTTTGTTTGCACTCAGCTTGAGCCTCTTATAAGCAATAAATAAACAATCAAACTAAACGAAATTGAAAAGTTCTTGGCTTAACCAATTCATTTCCAAAACAAATACCTTACCGACCTTATATTTAAAGCTTTAAATTTCTTCATTTGACTTGGATGTCCTGACCCATTACTCTGTAATTTTCTTGGAATCCCTTTGCTTGTTTTGTGATTTTTAATCCACATCAACTTTGTAAATTTTAAAAATGTGTATGCTTTGTGTTGATTTTGATTTAACCTTTCACTCCCACATTTGAGGAAACTTTTCTCGGGTCTAATTATTTCGGTGTCCTGCGACCCCTTGGAAAAGTTTTCGCCGTGTGGCACTTATTACGACTTTGTTCTAAGCTGTGTTATCAAACTTTGTTTGGCGAGGGACACCCGAGAGTTGAAACCCCAATATAATGTGTAGCAAGTGGTTCCGATTCCGGGTGTCAAGTAAAAGCAGCCATGGCAACGTACAAAAGTCTGGACAAGGGAAATGGCATTGCTTTCGCATTCGGACCTAATGTCGACACGAAGCCAAAAACTTTGTGGGCCAGCATCATGCGTGTTCTATTTATGTTGCTTACTTTGGCTTACGTTTCACTCGCAACTAGCCTTGAACTGGGTTAAACAAATTAATTAATAATCAATCGAAGTAATTGCGAGCCCTTTTTGGCGGGTTTTTGTACGAATTGGTGGCCTGATTGGATCAGGCTGGGAACTTTATTTCAGTCTATTTATAAGTCTTTTGGAAATGGAATATATGTTTTATCGTGTGACTTTAATTTGCACAGAAATAACTTGCACAGACCATTTCTCATAATATAGCTATGAAAACCCTATAATATTTATTAAAATATACATTTTTTAGCTGGCAATTTGCTATTTACAGATTTCAGAAATAACAAGAATGGGCAAAGCATTCCTCTTAAAATAGTTATAAAATTAACCCCATAACAGAAAATCAATTGAACTCTAGTTTAAGTTGAAAATAATTAAAATAATTTCAAACAAACCACATTAAATTTTTTCATAAAGTCATACTTATCCACATCATTTTAACAGACAAAAATCACTAGTCAAAACAAACTCCCTTTTTTTGAGTAATTTTTTTGGCCCACAAAACAAATAAAATCCAGCTAGCAAACATTGTTGAAAATTGAGCTCTGAAGTGACCTTCTATACGTTTTTTCTTCTGCTTGTCATGGTTTTGCAATACACCTGAAGGCTTCAAACGTTTCGGTTATTTTCCACCTTGGATTCTATTTTCTTCCATGCCATTGGGCAGCGAGAAACACGTTTCAGGCATTCCTTACGCTTATTTTGTCTTCTTTATTATTCACATTTTTGTGTATGTTTGTCATTTACTTCCCTTACATTTGCTTTCCCTTTTCGTCTGCAATTATGCAAATTCCCTAAGCTGTCTGCAAATTCAGCTGTGTCCCTCCAGCAATTATAGAAGGGAGTTCCCCTTTTTTGCATATGGCATGCTAAAACATTGCCTACTTTTTACGGCAGTATTTATTTTTCACACTTTTCGCCATCGAAGCAAATGTGTAAATTGAAAATATAAATTCCTTTGCAGGCTGTCATTGTCGCCCTGGCATAAATTCATATTTATGGCAATTGTTTCTTGTCTACCAGGGAAGTTGTGTTTAAAATAAAAAACGCACAAAATGTGCGCGAATTCGTTTCGGTAATTGTTTACAAGTCCTGGAAATTCAGTTGACTATTCGTTGAAATTCATGAGAATTGTTGATGAGCCAGTTGTGTGTCTTTTAAAAGAGAAAAGCAGACAATGACAGATTTTTGTTGTTTACTTGTTCGCACCAATAAATTAACCGTCAGACGTCTGTCAGTGTTATACAGGCTTAACTCATTTAGCCACATTTTGCCACATTTAGCCACATTTACAGCAATAAACCGTCGACACCTACAATGCCATAATTAGTCTTACAAATGTTATCGCTTAATTATATTTGCTGAGGTAAATTTAGCAAACGCAGTAAATTTCCCTTTGTTATTTTTCAGTTGTTGTTGGCTTTCGGTAATTGGATAACTTTTGCAAAAACTTATTTGCTATTGAGTGTCAAATGTGGAATTTGTGAGCAAAGTGATAATTAAACATTATTATCAGGGGGATGGTTTTTGACGCTTAAATGTTATTTAAGAGCTATTTATAAACTAAACGTGGGCTTTATATACAGAAACTTTTCTTGCACTTTGTAATTAAAAAAATGATTTTTAGAATTACTTTGACAAAGCGACGAAAATACTTTTTATTTTTTTTATTTTGCTGTTGACTAGAATATTCAATAGATTTATTACAAAGCAAATTGTCCAATCCCATCATATTTTTAGTTGCTTTTGTAAATTGAGAAGCGCATCATCACAAGACATTATCATCTTTTCCCAGATTTATTTATTTAAATTGCCATTTTGTGTACCCATACATTTTTAAACGGCCTGTTGCACATTTGAATGTTTGTTGGTGTTTGCCCTGGGGATCGTCTCAAAATCACCTTTTTGCCTGAAATAAAATTAGTGTTCGTGCGTGCCTCCTAATTTATAACACACATGTCGAAGCCTTTCGCTTAACACATGCAATTCCCAAATGAAATTAAAAGTTTTCCTTGCCATGACAGGAACAGAAAAAGCAACTGGCTTATGTTTTAGGCAATCGTCTGAACTAATGAATTCGTTTTCATTTTAAATGCAACTGATGTTGAAATCATTATTTAAAGAGTTTCACGAAATTTTTAATAAATAACAAAAATACCGGGAATGCTTTTAAAAATTATATGCACTTCAAAATTCTTTTTTAAGGGAATTTTCCCAAAGTTTCCAATGGGTGCGTGCATTCCGGCATTGTCTGTTCAATCAATTTTCAGAACTGCGTCAGCAAATAGAGGCCAAGCATTTGCTTGCAATCATAAAAAGTGGCGAAGGCAAATCTGCAAATCGATAAGCAATTTGTGGCCTTGTTTGGCCCGGTTTGTGGCCCACTTCCTTCTGCTCCTTGATCTCATTGTCAGTGTCCTTAGGACATTTTCCTGGCTTTCCGTTTTTATGCCGGGCAATAAACATTTATTGCGCGTTTGTGTGTCACCTTCGATGGGCAGAACGACTGGAGGTCTCTACTTCTGGCCGCCCAGTTCCACACCGCAACTGCCCCTTTGCTAATTGCCATAAGCGGACTTCGTCCAGCACAATAATTGGTTCCCCCATTTTAATGGCAGTGCAAACGTGCTGAGAATTTCCCAGCCATATGGTCAAGTGTGCAAATTCATATTTGCAAGCAAAAGAGTCGAAGCATTTCTGGAATTTGTGGTTAGGGAGCTCTGCGGTTAATAGACTTGATTTGAATAACAGGATCAGCCTGGATTCAACACATTTTTACCTTGTTATTTATTTGAACGACACACTATGGCCTTTTGTAATTACATCTACAGTTTTATATAAAATAAAAGGGAATTTAAAGAGACAAAATAGACATTTAAAGAACCAAGGCAATTTCCAACGAATCAATTATGTTTACAAGAAAAGCTTTGCTAGAAGTACTTTATGTAAGTAAAAAACATAACGATGAACAAATCGATTTGATGAAAGTCGTTCAAAATAGATAAAACATTAACAAAAACTGACCTTAAATAAATACTCTTTTTCAAACCATGTATTTTTGTACGGTAAGAAAATAAAAAAAAGTACTTTTCCATCAGAAATTATTATGACAATTTAATAAACGTGTAGATTAGTAATTGGAGCTACACAGTTTTTGCACACTTAACTTGTGAGGGCTGCGATGCGAGTAGAGTTAACAAATAATTAGCATACTTTTGCGGGAAATCAACCTTTTTTGATTGATAGGCATCGTCCTTGGCACCGGCGGCCAAAAGCTTTCCTGCCTAACTTCAATCATGCAAATTAACCTTCACCATGTCAAATCATGTGCTAATCAAAGTAAAACTTTGATGGATGCCAAATGAAATGTGGCGAATCGCAGACAAATAAGTTTGGCTGAAGGTCTGCATCCGTTCAGATATGATAATGACCTTTATTGATTGAAAGTATGTAAGGAAGTAAAACAAGAATTTGTGGCTACAAAATAAATATGTTAATAACTTTACAAAAACTTTAGGTGACTTTCTTAAAAATAACGTATATAACAATTTACAAAATAGTCAGACAAAACAGTCAATTGTTAGTATAAAATTAAATGATTATTCATTTAAAAAACATTATGTTTTATTTATACATAAAAACACTCAAAGCTTACCAAAAAATGAGTGTATTATTCCTCAAAATTTGCAGCCATTAAAAGTATTTAATGTGATTTTGTCGCACTTTAAAATGCACAGGAACTTGATTGTTTTTACGTTTTATTGATGTACCATTAGTTTTTCTTTGTTGTTGTTTCATACTTTCTACCTTGAAAATGCATCAAAAAATATATCGTTTCGTATTATTATTGTTTTGTCATTTGTGCACTTGCACTCGATGATATTCCCCTACTTTTGGGTGCACTTGCAGGAGGTGAAAGCTTTGAATATTCTACTTTCACTCTTTGGACTGATTTTCTTTTTGATGTTCGCTGTCTGTAATTTAGTCTTTTGCCCATTATTTGTCTGCCTTGTCTGCACTTCCTGTTGCGATAAATCGTCGAATTGCTGTTGCGGTTGCTGCTGCTGCTGCTGCTCGTGTTGCTGCTGTATCTGTTGCTGGTGCTGCTGCAGTAGCTGTTGCTGTTGCAGTCGCGATTTGAATGCTGCATTGCTAAGCTGCCAGCTGCTGGAGGAGGCTCTCAGCGGCGATGGCTTCGTATGCTGCTGCTGGTAGCTGGGCGCCGCACTGGCCAATCCCGCCGAGCTCTCGGCGCTGTTCGACGAGAGCGTGGAGGAGGCTACCGCCGTCCAGAACATGATGGCTAACTAGCTGATGGCTATCGAATCTACGCATCGGATAGTGCTCCTCCTGCAGGCCAGGCATGTTAGCCAATAAAAAAACCGGATGGATGTATTCGGGACACACAACAAAAAAACCGAGGATTAAACACACGTGCCGTTTGATTTTCAGCGCGACTAAGTCCTGTCCCTCCTGCGATTCGTTGGCAAATGCAGCCTCGCCATCGTCAGGATGTGCCCTTTTATAGCCCAGCGATAGAGAGAGCTTGCAAAGCTCAGGACATTCGGGCGCTCTCTCATTTTGCCTCTCTCTTCCAATGTCAATGTCAAGCTGTTTTTTCACTCGCTTAACTGTGTTTTCTTGCTCCACGGGGCAAGCAAACATATTTGCCTATTAGAAATTAACCACAATATTCTGATGCAGTTTTAAAAGCTGCATGGTTTTTGAGTGTTTTAGTGAGACATATCTTTATTAAAATATGGCAACTGAAAGCCAGCCGAAAATGCACATTGGTAGCTTATACATTTTAATCTTGTAGTAAATATAATCATTCTTTTGTATGCAATTGCTATTATCTTTTTAAATCCTCAGTTTACTTCTAAATATATTTTGCATTTCTCAGAACTTTTGTGTTTGTTTTATGGGCAACCAGAACGTAGGTTTATACCATATCTATAAATATCATGTGCACTTTGTGTCTACTTGTCGATATTTGCTTGTCAGGCTATTCAAAATGTACTTTTAATTTTTTTCATGGCCCAAGGGATAATAATTCAAGCCTTTGGCCATTTTAATCTGGACAACTTTATGTTAAGAAATTTAAGTGCAAACGCCTTTGATGGTAGATTGATTATGTGCAGACAAAATCCTGATATAAAGGATTAATGTGCAATGTGCCGAAAGTAAATGAAGCTCAAAAATTGGCGAAGGTTAAATCTACCTGTTGAAGCAACCTGTGGATTATCCGCCCAACTTTCTGGTGTACTAATGAATTTCCCTGCAATTCAATTTAAGTTGCCAACTCGATTTTACTAAACTGACGTCAAAGGATGCGGTAAAATGTAATGGAACAAATTTGAAGGTGCTTTTAAATAACAACATGGTTACACAAGAGCTGAGAAGCATCCTGTTCTGCCCACCGCTTATTATGCGCGCTCATTGATTTTGTTTGACCAGTACCAGTTTCTGTTCGACCAGGTTGTTTGCCACCTGCCTTTGATGGCTAATTAACTTAGATGCATCGCCAACTCGCTCCGCTCTCAACCGAGTTGGATTTGTTGACTCGCTGCTGAAGCCTCCGTTCGTGAAACGCTTCCGTTTTTCCGTCTCTGCCTCCCGACACAGTGAGAACTTTATTGCGTTGGTCGCGAAAACTCCAATTAAAAAAGACAGCAGCGTTGGCGTGGTATGTCCTGTGCCTAATCCCTTTTTCCATGTTATTAACGAGATTTGAACCTACTGATGGAAAAAGCGTACGTGGTTTCTGCGAAATTTTACCTGCATCGACCCGTAAACACCGTGAATGCAGTGTGACAGTCGTTCTGAAGTTGGTTGAATTTAGCTCACGATTTGCAGTTAAGTGTCAAAAATATTTTACTGACTCATTTCATTTACTTTTGTATCTTCTGTAATACATTATTTTGTCAGCAATGCAACTTAGTGTTTTTCCTGTTTCTTTTTTGTTTTTACATCCAATCATTATAAAATGCATTATAAAACAATTTCCTTTTAGTCAACAAATAGTCTTGAATGTATGCTTTTAATTCTTTACACCGTATAAGCAAATAAATTTAAAGATAATGGTCAAAACTGTACATTGTTTGGCAGTATATTTAAAAAAGTAATAGTTTTTCGATAGTAATCAATTTACGCTAAAATGTAGAGATTTTATTATTATGAATTTAGACGTAAATTAACAAATTGGCATTAAGTAACTTAAACTAACAGTCTATTTGAAATAAATATATTAAGTAGGTAGGTTTATTTGCTTTTTTAACCTTTTTTATTAACCGCTTCGCCTTTAGTTTCTTAATTTATCATGCTGTCATCCTTAAAAAATATATATTCATATTTTTTGTGACCTTTGCTCAACCATTGCCAATGCGGGGATACCTAACTCTGTGAAAACTATGCTGGCTAGGCCGTCTGTCTCGATCAGCGGATCCGGTGACCCTGAGCGCCTTGCAGTGCCTTTTGGCCAGGTCCAAGACCAATACCAAACACGAGTGCCGTCGGCCTTGATAGATGTGGGCAAGGTCATTGCCGAGCTAACAGGTTGCTCGCCAGCAGCGAGCTTTTATAGACAGAGAGAGAGAGAGAGAGAGATTGAGAGTGAGAGCCAAATGGGGAAAAGTACTGAAGCAATCAGACGTCAGCAAACGGTTTTCCTATTGCTTTTAATGTAGGTCACTGGGCCAAGTCTAGTCTGGCTAATCTTAGTGCCAAGTCATCCATAAATAACCTAGTTTCCATCGTTCTTTCTTTTTTGCTCCCTCAGGAGAAGGACCAGTACGGCAACGAGGTGCAGCGACTGGCTCGTCCACTGCCCGTGGAGTATCTACTGGTGGACGTGCCCGCCTCGACTCCGCTGCAGCCGCAGTATACCTTCACCGAGTACGACAAGCGCCAGCCATTCCCCATCGAGAACCGATACATCGACGGCCACCTGCAGGACTTCAACGCACTCAGCTGTTATCTGGCCAACTGGGGCGACGAGGAGTTCCTCGAGGCCATCTCCGACTTCCACCTGCTGGTCTACCTGTACAAGATGGACATGCTCCCGCTGCGCCAGCACATGGGTCCGCTGCTGGAGGCGGTGCGCACCAAGAACCCCAACCAGGCCGCCCAGTTCAAGGTCGAGGATGTGTGGAAGCTGCTCGAGTCGCTGATCCAGGCCAGTTCCGGTGGCAGTGGGTGAGTTTGACATACCCATGAACCCCTTCTTCATTTACATAAATATTGTCCCATAAATTCAGGCAAAGATTTTTGGCTTTAATAGATATTTATATTTTTATTATTTATTTTTTTTTTATTTTAAAATAAATTAGAAATTAGAAATATTAGGTAAAACTAATATTTTGAAAATATATGTCTATCTTAAATAGTATGCGCGACGCATTGTAGTGAATTTATATATTTGAAATTTACAATTTAGTTCCCACCAGCTTTTGTTAGGCAAGAATATGTCTAACTCCAATCGTAGCTTTAAAGTACATATATTTATGTAGAGAGTTACAAACTCGTAAATCACCGCTGCTTTTGGCTTATTCAAAATTCTGAAAGTGATATTTGCAAATGAAAGATTATTATGTTGCCACATCCCAAAATGTTTGTATTGTTTTTTAACATGTGCATTTACAAATATCAAATATCGATAAAAATAACTGTTTCAAGTGTAAGTTCAACTTTAAAGATATCAGGCTTTTAGTTCGTATATACAATTTTTAATGTCGAGCAAAAATTACTAGTCGAAATTATCTAATTATCTAACTTAATTTAAATAGAAAGAACTTTAAACTTATTACTAATTCGCTCTTTTTGTTGCAGTGGCACCACCAGCTATCCCAGCGGAGGGGCATCGGCTAGTGCCGGAGCTTCGGGATCGGAGGCGATGGACTTGGACGCCAACACCTGGACGTGCAGCCACTGCACCTTCATCAACCGCGGCGAACTCAACTCCTGCGAGATCTGCTCGTTACCCAGATAAGGTTCCATCCCCCCCTCGACACGAAAATTCCACGATTTGCAGCCTAGATGAACCATTCGAAATTCCGGTGTAAAACAAACTAAAGATTCAATCATACTTACTTATAGCAGCGGCTGGAAGACACGGGTGTCCCCCACACACACATACACATGCACACTTAGAGGCGCATTCGTGCGAATGTCGCGCATTATCTCTATGTAATCCTTGTGTAAGAATTTTATAAAATAAAACAAAAAGAAGGAAGGAAAATTTAATTTATTTTTAAATAAATTTCAATTGTTGTGCACATTTTTATGTGGTTTTCTTTTTAAAAATATATTTTTCTTTTCTATCCTTTCTATTTTGTTAAATTGATTTTGTTGGGGTGTTTGTTTGCCAAAAGAAATGACTTCCTGTTATGAACAGTTGCGAATTTACATTTTTCAGCACTTATTTTGTTCTGTTACTTGGTCAAAATAAGACACAGCTAAAGGATAGACTGTTTAATTCAGCTGGCGACCAATAAGTCAAAAAACAAAATAATAGAAGATACATTTATTAGGAAAAAAATACTTTGTGTTTATAATTCAATGACTAAGGTTAAGCTAACTATATGATAATATAGTATTCATTTAACTTTAGGCAACACGAAAGAAAACTACGTCAAAAATATCCAAGTGAAAAATATTAGTCTTCAACAAAATTTCATGTGTATTGGAACTCAGATCCCAATTCGGCAAAGCTGTTCAAAAATTTGTAAACTAAATTCCAAAGTTAATATATTGGGTTTGCGGACTTTATAAAATGGCGCTTCGCCTTACGACTGTTGCCTTCCGCAAACGTGCTCCTCTACTACTCGTGTCAAAGGTAAACTATATTTAAGAAAGAAGAGCCTGTTCAAGTCCATATTAATACATTCTACCCCTATTTGTAGTTACAGCCACCACCGCCAAAGCGAACTTTACTGCTTCGAAGTATGTAGCGAAATTAAGAGCATCCAATTAAGGACGCGGCGATCTAAAATTCCATTTCCTTTGCAGAAAACCTCGTACCGTTTTTAGATGATGATCCTTGTGTGTTCTCCAAAAAAGCCATAATGCACCATTGGGGGGTAAGTGTCTAAAGTACCTGAAATTATACCTGAAAGCCACTAGCCAATACTTACCACATATAAGCAATAACAAAAGAGTTTATTGTTTGTTATTTATCTAAACTATTTTAAAATTGTGGAAAGAGGTGTTAATATACTATCTAGGTCTATAGAAGATTCCGTTATTAGTTAATAAGTGCCAAATTTAAAATGAATTAATATTTGTGTATTTGTTACAAATAAGAGAAAACGAACGAAAGGACAATTTTACCAGACTAGCTACGCGCAAGATTCATTAATACAAAATCATAATGTCTGTGTAGTAGGTTGTGGTAAAATGCAGAGAAATTAAGTTTGTTGAAACTACAGAGCAAATTATTTTATGTGAAACATTTATTGTGGTATATATGTTTATATTATATATATAATTAATTATATTAATACGCTGCAACATTTAAGATGAGTTTGGTTTGAGTTTCGTGTGGGTCAAACAGCAAATTTTTACGCAAATTCAAGATTACACAATACCAACTGATGTCTGTCTTTCTGTGTGAATGAGTGTGCATGTATGTACTACGCTCTAATCAAATCTATAAGTTATCTATAAATACTTTGTATAATATATAAGTTTCAATAATATAGTATTTATACTGCATAAGAAGCTAAGAGCAACCAACTTTGGAAAAAGCATTTCGAGAACTTCTCGAAATCTGACAATTTTTGTCGCTGATTTTGGTATATAATTTTGTATTGCACAAACGCAACGTAAAACATTTAATTTTGCTTGAGATATTAACCGTATATATGTTTTTTAATCTTATAACGGCCAACACAACAACACAGTGTGTTTCAGAGTATCAATAAATTGGTTCATATTTCAATTCGGCGCTTAGGGTCTAATGTTAGCTTCTTGGGTCGTCATTTTAATGCTCAAGATCGTGCATCCGGTAGCACTTCTTTATAATACAAATATATATTTATATGTATCTATTACTTGAGTTTTCCTCAACATTAACACATCGGTATCAAAGTTATATATGCATGTATATATATTGCTTATAAGTTTTCCGTCTAAATTACCTATCATATCTGACTGTTAATTGTTGAATCATATTATTTAATCTCTAATAAACTTTAAGTTCACACAAAAAGGGTATTGTCGCATATGTATTTACTTAAATACAGCTTAGCTTTCTTTGCTTTTTGCTTGCTGATCATTTCTCTTAGTTAAGATATTTCTTGTATATCATAAACCATGCATTGCCTTCTGTGTGTTTAAGCTTAAGATAAAGCAATAAAAATATATATTGAAAAGTAGAATTGGATACCACCCATTAATTTATGTACAAATCAGAATAATGGATATAAAAATGCTGCAATTACTGCACTAAAAGCATGAGTATCATACACTAGAACCAAATAAAAAAAGGTTGTGATCTTTGTATGTCAAATCGTTACAAAAACAAAATCTCTAGTCGGAAAGACCGACAAATTACTGTCCGGCACTCAAATGTTTCAATGGAAAAGTCTAAACTAAATTAAATTTTAGTTAAGCAGTTTCAAAATTGAATAAGTAATCTTAATAAAATGTCTCAGGTATAATTGGAAGTATTTTGGTAAATTTTTTTAACAAATTAAATAATATTTATATATATCTTTATCCAAAAATATACACTGAGCACCGGCTATAAAATAAACAATTAAAAATAATAGTTCAGAGGCTACTGATAATAAAGTGAGTTTTTTATAACCAATATCAATATTACTAAATGAGTCAATTTACAATTACTTTTACGATTACGGTTACGTGGTATCAAGTTTGAAACGGCGAGTACGTTATACGAGTACATTTTACAAAGTCTAATATGACGGTGGTTTCTAATTCAACTATGAACTAAGTACGAGTATATATATTTTTGGTTACAGCTAATCTTACTCTAAACATTAATAATACAATATGTTATACAGACACTTCAGTTTTTTGTGCATTATACAGGAAAAAATTATTTCGTGCAAGCTACTTTCAAATTACAAACATACTTTTCCAGATGTTATTTTTTTACTCGTATTCCATTTATTTGAAATCAAATACAAAGGTTCTATTTGTAAAATTTTCTTTCACATTTCGTTTATTCATTTCAATTCAATTCAAAAAGGGTTTATTCCACGAAGATTTTCAATAGGAAAATTACATAAAGGGTTTACATTTTATTTTTGTCAGCAATTTCTTTAATTTTTCATGGTTTGGAATTTTGGGTTTTTGGGCTAAAAAGAGTAAATACCGTTTTACATGTCCTTTGTATATATCGAAAGAATTATATATTGTGTTTCAGTATATATATATACTGGGTGTCTAAACATCGCTACAAGTATAGAGCGAGAAATAGAGCGACAGCAATTACAAGTTACAGTTACAAGATACAGGGTGTTGTATATAATATATCTGTTTCTCGTTTTATAAGCTAATAAAATAATAACCATTTCGTAAACAAATGTATATAAGGTTGGCTGTTATAATAGAACTTGATACTTTCTGATCTATGGATACGATTCTCAGCCCAAGCCAAACTCAATTCAAAGGGGTTTTCTTACTGGTTTGCTTATGGCCTAAAAGTTATATAATTTTTTATTTATATTTATATATATATATGTATATATATATATGTGAAAACTTATGGCTAGCCTTCAAATTGTTTACCAAATCGTTCAATATAATGCACTTGCTTATCGATTATATAGTTTGTTTTTTATCTTTGCTTGACCCTCATCCCAATCGTTGGAGAAACAAATTTACAACAGGTAGTACGTCTGTGCTTACGTTTTTGTTAGTAACAGGCCAAAGCGATTTTTGTTATTATACCACAATCATAATATTAGCGGGAGAACCTGAAATCCAAATCCAAAACAAGGCTCGGTGCCGTTTACTCTTTAAAAGGTTGTTTTCGTTTAAAATTCCTCGTTGCAAAAATTGTACTGATTGATTACGATTACGTGTAACAAGTATAGCCAAAAGCTGAGCTCGGTATGCCCCATTGAATTTGTTTGTTTCGAAATCATCGGGGGTTTTCGATAAAATATAACTGAATTTTATTTTCCCTAAATTTCATTTCTCCCGTTGTCACTGTTGGTGTAAGACCTTTTTTCATGTCAATTAGTTGCTGGAAGACGAGTCTAAGTTATGTTTTTCGTTTAGGAAAGTCTTAGCAAGGGCTTTCTGCTAAAATTTTACTCACCTCGGTATTTATTCATGATTTTTCTCTTCTTTAGCTTTAATAAAAAATCCTCTGTTGTATCAATTGAACTTGGTGTTGAATCCGTTCGATTCAATTTGCTTTCCCTTTCAAAATATAGCTCAGTATAATTGATATGTTACGAGCCAGTAAAAGTAATTATCTCCTTCCTTGCTATATAAGAAAACATGTTCCTTTTTTTTAATATATATATCATGTTTGTTTTGTTTTTATGAATTTTTTTGTAGTATATTTGAATTTTTCCTGCTTAACACTTAAATTAGGTTTGAATACGACTTGTTGTGTCTTTGATTTTAGCATTTTGTTAAGCATTTGAAATGAGCAAAAGTAGCCTTTCCCTTCATTCTTAGTAGTACATTATGCATTTAAATATAATTTTAGCAATCGATAAATATATAGCTTGTTTGTCAAAGTATCTCTTGAATACCTTGTACGCATTGCTTCAAAATTATTTAACACTTGGTCTTAATTTTAAGCTTATAACCTAATTCTCAATACGATAAATTAAAGGTTTCTTGGAGCATTTTTAATGTGATTTATATGTTTTGTGTTTTGGTTTTTTATATTACCCAGGATTAGTCGAGGGAAATAATTGCTTTTAAATTTTATTGTATAGGTTCGATTTTTTGGTTTTCATTTTATCTTATACATTTATTGTTACTTACCACTTTCTGCATTTGTTTTTCAAAGAATTAGTTTGTGCCTATGCACATCAATTGACTAGCTTGTTGAGAGTGTGTTGGTTGGTGTGTGTTTCATAGCGCTTGATTTGAAAGTAAATTATAAAAACGCCAAACAATAAGCAAGAAGCCAAAAAATGCCAGGTCATCAAATAAAAAAGGTTCTAATTAAACTAGTTTAGTTGGGGTTTCACTTTTATTTGCTTTAGGATCTAGTAACCTGATTTGTGAATTTTGCTAAAAATTTGGTCCTCATTAGTCACTGAAATCATCTTAAACCATATCCAAAATGAAAACTTTATGTCTGCGCTGTTTTCACGTTTTTGGTAAATATTTATGAAGATTTCCAGAAGGGTATTCTTCAGCAAACCTCTTTATACACAAGTTCAGTTTATCTTTTGATTTAGTTTTCTTGGGTAAATTTCAAAGACTCCTGGTTTTGACACCATCAAAGTGATATGCGTGGTTTTTTAACCTTCACAACAACAGTTGATGAAATGTTTTCCTTTCTTTTCTTCCCTGGTTTTTTACTGGGTATACCAAAAATTCTACTCTTAGTATGAAATTTGACACATTTTGAGAGACGCCTCAATATATAATTGATATATACATATAATATATAATTTTTTGTTTTGGTTTTACTAATTGAATATATCACGGTCTTGCTAAATATCATCGTATGTATGTATATATATGTATCTGTATCTATCTGTATATATGCATGTAAATATCTATAAAGTTTACGCCACTTGAGTTGCTCGGGAGAACATATATTTCAAGGCTCTTTCTAAACCAACTATTTAAATTTCTAAAACCGCTTTCCAATCCCAATCCCAACCCGAATTCCAAATCAGATTGGTTTTCTTATTGATCAGATTTTATAGTATAAGTACTTTGCTCAGTTTGATAGGTAATTTGGTTTACGAATACTGACACTTGAATGCTGAAACACAGTTGATCTTATTGTCATATGATGTATGTGTGTATGATGTAGGTATATAGTAAGTTGTTAATGCTAATGCCTTGCTAATTAATGGGGGACTTTTGGGATCTCGGCTGGGGAAAGAACTTTGAAAGATGATATGGGGTT